CAGAGCCTGTCCAGGATGCCGTTCAAAAGAAGGGAAGTTCCTTTGAAGCAGGTGGCAACTGAGCTTGGCATAAATCGAAACTTAATAGGGTTTTCATGGAACTTCGGATTTGCAAGCAAAAAGGGGAGTTTCATTTTTTCTCTTCCATTCCATCTTAAATTTTCTATTAATTCTCATAAGGGAACTTAAAATTCAAGTTTGTCCTTCAACTTATTCATATGTAGTGTGCATTTGGGTTCCCTATAATTACCGGCTTGTAGCAACCATTGTTCGGGGTCGTCCTGCACAGTCAGTTTGGTTTTGGAAACCTTGAAACAGTCGGAAATGGGGAAAAAAGGACATCTGAAGAGGAATCCCTCTCGTGATTCTCCTCTCCCCTCGACAGTACGTGGTCTGAAAAATAATGGGTGCACGTCGGAATTTCGAATGCTGGAATGCAGAAATAGAGAATGTTGAATTGGAAGAATGTAGATGTCATAAAAAGTCGGTTACGTTTAACGTCGAACATCCAGTGCGAGAGGAGGCGTAGTCGGACGAGAAGTGCTCCAGAGCTCATCTGAGAATGGGGAGTGGACTAATCACCGAGCTCCTCTTTCGAAGCTTATGCTTCTCTCTCCAGTTCCTCCTCTATGAAAAAGCCGCAGAGGTGACCAACGATAACAGCGGTGAGTGACGTTGCGACGGCATAACACGAAGCGTGGCATCGCTGTATCGAGGGAGGGGGGAGGAGGTATCGCACGGATTTCTCCGCATGTCCTTGCGATGTCCTTGTCGACGTACTTCTCGAATTAATGTTGTTTTCGGAATAAATGTCAGAAGCAATGAATGGCTCGGAAAGTTCAGAGGTTTTGGACCATGTGCTGATATAGAGATGATTAAAACATACTTCTTACATTTTTTCATCTGCATGTGTTAGGCAAGCGTTTAACAAAGACCATGTTTATAATAAACCGTCACATTTTAAAGAACCATAGAAACTAAGAGAAGACGACAATTTCACATAAATATAGCGTCATATGTTGTCTCGAATACTGAGTTAATAAAAAGTTTTAATAGGTATTTTGAGATCAATAGATGTTTGGCTTTTACTATCTAATATACATAGACGATCGTGCGACGGACTGACGGTAATTCTAACAATATTCTAGAAATTGTAGAAACAGGAAACTTGTTACATAGGTAGCTATGAGCATGCTGAGTTTAAAAATGATTCCGACTTTAGGACGTACATGCTTCGGGAGGTGGAGTGGCTTCGGGAGGTAGAGGTTTTTTGTGGGGGTGGAACATTTATCAACAAATAGTTTAGCTTCAGTCAAACGGAGGGAAATGGATAGGTAAACGTATCTACTGATATAATTTCAGGAAAACTTCCAATTTTCAGTTATATACCCTGGGGGCAGAAATTTTGGGGGGAGATTTTTTCAAATACTTTTTTTGCTTCCGTCAAACTGAGAAACTTGGAAAGCTCTAACTTTGCAGGGATGTGACTACTGAGACACTGAATTCAAGAAAAATCTAAAGTTGCTTGTTTCTCCCCCGAGGGTATATTTTTCGGGGGTAACATTTTCAATGAATTTTTTTTCTTTCCTAGCGATTTGGGCAAAGATAGAAAAGTGAAACTTGACCCATGTATGACTGATGTGATTGGGAGTTCAGAAAAATTCAACTATTGTGGAGCATACCCTCACAGCACAGCTTTTGGTTAGGTCGGCTATTTCAAAGATACTCTTGCACCAGCGAAAAGGGCAAACGGATAAGGTTGAAACTAGGTAGACGTGGAAGTTCTCCGAATACTATTATAATTTCAGTAGCAATACAATTTTTTTTTCTTGTAAAAGGTGCATATTCCCGAATCTTTTTGATCCAATAAAAGAGAGTACCGTAAAAAATTGAAATTTGCAGCAAAAACACTTATCAGAGTGGTGAGAGCAAAAAACCTATTACTTTTTTTAAATATGTCCCGTTGGGGTGGTTTATGAGAGAGAAACACGTTCACGCCAAATTGCTTGTCATTTGTCAACTGCTAGTTACACTATACCACTTGAGGGCGCACTACTCTCGACCTCAACTCCGTTACTAAATGCAATTGTACGCATCGGGACGGCTATGTATGGTAAGGAAACGGAGGAAGTTTTAAGGAATTAAAGTATAGCCTCAGGGTATTCCAATGAAAATCCGATGAGGCGTTGAGCTGCTGGAGTTCCAGTGAGAGCCTCTGAGAAATTATTCCGCTATTTACATAGAACCTTTGGTCATATTGGCGAGAACCAATCTCAGGAAAATCGTCACTGACTGTGGAAAATTAGAAGAGAATTCATCGATATTGAGAACATTTTTTTCCTGAGCCATTTCCCTGGAATTGAGCCAAGTTGGCGAGAGGCCGGACTAATCATGAAAATGGCGAAAATGTCAGGGAATCGCTTCGAAAGAAAATGGAACTTCATTGGCATTAAATTAACCTTTGCAAAGTGCGAATCGCTCACCTGAAACTAAATACATATTTTTAGCAATCTGGGAAACTGGTTTTTCTAATTGCCATTTCCTGAACTCAAGAGGAATCAATATTTGTTCATTAATCTCCAAATTTCAACTATATATAATCAGCTGGTAATTGAAAACATCATTTTCTGCCCTTCAGCAGCCTTCTTGTATGGAAAACAATGAAATGTGATGGACAGGTGGAGTCAAAAAAAAATTTTATGAATGTTTTTATGAATGAAATACGTATCCTTTTCTCCAGCTGCAGGCTATGCATTCCAATAGAATCCTTACCCTCTTCAGATGCGTATAAACTTTAATTTTTTTTCTTGTCTTAATCTAATTAGATGGCATACTACTTTACGGGACCAAGGTTGCTTCCCATAACGTATCCAGAAGTCAACTGCAAACACTCGAAGACCTACCCATTCCGGTATGCAGCAATTTGATTTCACTTTAAAAAAATTAGACATCTTATATTTATGCACAGGCCCAGAAGAAAAATAACTGAATCATTCCCCAGGTCGAATTGCTGCCGTACTTAGAGCAAGGAAAGAGAAACTATGAATCCTTCAAACAGATTCTACAAAATACTACCTGGGAACCCATGACTTCGCTATCTGATGACATCATCAAAGTCGCAAGTGCTCACAACAGAGAAAGTGGCCTCACCATGATATACTTGGAGGTAAGGAACCTACATACCAATCTTCAATACATTTTAACTCCAGAAGGGGATCTTTCAGACTTCATTGCCGACAAGATCACGGATTGGTGGGACCACAGCCAAAGGTAACTTAATGAGAAAATGAGCACGAGAAAAATCGAGGAGCATATATTCNAAGCTTATGCTTCTCTCTCCAGTTCCTCCTCTATGAAAAAGCCGCAGAGGTGACCAACGATAACAGCGGTGAGTGACGTTGCGACGGCATAACACGAAGCGTGGCATCGCTGTATCGAGGGAGGGGGAGGAGGTATCGCACGGATTTCTCCGCATGTCCTTGCGATGTCCTTGTCGACGTACTTCTCGAATTAATGTTGCTTTCGGAATAAATGTCACGAAGCAATGTCCTTGGAAAGTTCAGAGGTTTTGGACCATGTGCTGATATAGAGATGATTAAAACATACTTCTTACATTTTTTCATCTGCATGTGTTAGGCAAGCGTTTAACCAAGACCATGTTTATAATAAACCGTCAAATTTTAAAGAACCATAGAAACTAAGAGAAGACGACAATTTCACATAAATATAGCGTCATATGTTGTCTCGAATACTGAGTTAATAAAAAGTTTTAATAAGTAATTTGAGATCAATAAATGTTTGGCTTTTACTATCTAATATACATAGACGATCGTGCGACGGACTGACGGTAATTCTAACAATATTCTAGAAATTGTAGAAACAGGAAACTTGTTACATATGTAGCTATGAGCATGCTGAGTTTAAAAATGATTCCGACTTTAGGACGTACATGCTTCGGGAGCTTTTTTGTGGGGGTGGAACATTTATCAACAAATAGTTTAGCTTCAGTCAAACGGAGGGAGATGGATAGGTAAACGTATCTACTGATATGATTTCAGGAAAACTTCCAATTTTCAGTTATATACCCTGGGGGCAGAAATTTTGGTGGGAGATTTTTTCAAATACTTTTTTTGCTTCCGTCAAACTAAGAAACTTGGAAAGCTCTAACTTTGCAGGGATGTGACTACTGAGACACTGAATTCAAGAAAAATCTAAAGTTGCTTGTTTCTCCCCCGAGGGTATATTTTTCGGGGGTAACATTTTCAATGAATTTTTTTTCTTTCCTAGCGATTTGGGCAAAGATAGAAAAGTGAAACTTGACCCATGTATGACTGATGTGATTGGGAGTTCAGAAAAATTCAACTATTGTGGAGCATACCCTCACAGCACAGCTTTTGGTTAGGTCGGCTATTTCAAAGATACTCTTGCACCAGCGAAAAGGGCAAACGGATAAGGTTGAAACTAGGTAGACGTGGAAGTTCTCCGAATACTATTATAATTTCAGTAGCAATACAATTTTTTTTTCTTGTAAAAGGTGCATATTCCCGAATCTTTTTGATCCAATAAAAGAGAGTACCGTAAAAAATTGAAATTTGCAGCAAAAACACTTATCAGAGTGGTGAGAGCAAAAAACCTATTACTTTTTTTAAATATGTCCCGTTGGGGTGGTTTATGAGAGAGAAACACGTTCACGCCAAATTGCTTGTCATTTGTCAACTGCTAGTTACACTATACCACTTGAGGGCGCACTACTCTCGACCTCAACTCCGTTACTAAATGCAATTGTACGCATCGGGACGGCTATGTATGGTAAGGAAACGGAGGAAGTTTTAAGGAATTAAAGTATAGCCTCAGGGTATTCCAATGAAAATCCGATGAGGCGTTGAGCTGCTGGAGTTCCAGTGAGAGCCTCTGAGAAATTATTCCGCTATTTACTTAGAACCTTTGGTCATATTGGCGAGAACCGATCTCAGGAAAATCGTCACTGACTGTGGAAAATTAGAAGAGAATTCATCGATATTGAGAACATTTTTTTCCTGAGCCATTTCCCTGGAATTGAGCCAAGTTGGCGAGAGGCCGGACTAATCATGAAAATGGCGAAAATGTCAGGGAATCGCTTCGAAAGAAAATGGAACTTCATTGGCATTAAATTAACTTTTGCCAAGTGCGAATCGCTCACCTGAAACTAAATACATATTTTTAGCAATCTGGGAAACTGGTTTTTCTAATTGCCATTTCCTGAACTCAAGAGGAATCAATATTTGTTCATTAATCTCCAAATTTCAATTATATATAATCAGCTGGTAATTGAAAACATCATTTTCTGCCCTTCAGCAGCCTTCTTGTATGGAAAACAATAAAATGTGATGGACAGGTGGAGTCAAAAAAAATTTTTATGAATGTTTTTACAATACGTATCCTTTTCTCCAGGAGCAGGCTATGCATTCCAATAGAATCCTTACCCTCTTCAGATGCGTATAAACTTTTATTTTTTTCTTGTCTTAATCTAATTAGATGGCATACTACTTTACGGGACCAAGGTTGCTTCCCATAACGTATATTTTTTTCCTGAGCCATTTCCCTGGAATTGAGCCAAGTTGGCGAGAGGCCGGACTAATCATGAAAATGGCGAAAATGTCAGGGAATCGCTTCGAAAGAAAATGGAACTTCATTGGCATTAAATTAACCTTTGCAAAGTGCGAATCGCTCACCTGAAACTAAATACATATTTTTAGCAATCTGGGAAACTGGTTTTTCTAATTGCCATTTCCTGAACTCAAGAGGAATCAATATTTGTTCATTAATCTCCAAATTTCAACTATATATAATCAGCTGGTAATTGAAAACATCATTTTCTGCCCTTCAGCAGCCTTCTTGTATGGAAAACAATGAAATGTGATGGACAGGTGGAGTCAAAAAAAAATTTTATGAATGTTTTTACGATGAAATACGTATCCTTTTCTCCAGGAGCAGGCTATGCATTCCAATAGAATCCTTACCCTCTTCAGATGCGTATAAACTTTAATTTTTTTCTTGTCTTAATCTAATTAGATGGCATACTACTTTACGGGACCAAGGTTGCTTCCCATAACGTATCCAGAAGTCAACTGCAAACACTCGAAGACCTACCCATTCCGGTATGCAGCAATTTGATTTCACTTTAAAAAAATTAGACATCTTATATTTATGCACAGGCCCAGAAGAAAAATAACTGAATCATTCCCCAGGTCGAATTGCTGCCGTACTTAGAGCAAGGAAAGAGAAACTATGAATCCTTCAAACAGATTCTACAAAATACTACCTGGGAACCCATGACTTCGCTATCTGATGACATCATCAAAGTCGCAAGTGCTCACAACAGAGAAAGTGGCCTCACCATGATATACTTGGAGGTAAGGAACCTACATACCAATCTTCAATACATTTTAACTCCAGAAGGGGATCTTTCAGACTTCATTGCCGACAAGATCACGGATTGGTGGGACCACAGCCAAAGGTAACTTAATGAGAAAATGAGCACGAGAAAAATCGAGGAGCATATACTCCCTCCCTTGCATGACTTGAGGAATAGAACAGGCTTGGTTGCTTATGCGTGCCAATTTTTTATATACGAGGGTCACTCAATAAGTTATCTACCTGAATAAGAAAGAAGCATCCGAGGGGAAAAATAACACTTTATTTTTCAATGTAGTCACCTTTTAACTCAACACACTTATTCCACTTTGATTCCAAGGATTTTATTCCCTGGGAATAGAAGTCAACTTCTTGTCCATCAAACCAATCAGAAACCGCAACTTTCAGCTCTTCATTGCATGAAAATATTTTTCCCCGCAAATTTTTTTCAGGTGTCTGAACAGAAAATAGACACTGGGAGCCAGATACGGGCTGGAGGGAGGATGGTTGAACTCCTGAAAGCCACACTCCCTCACTGCTGCCTGAACTTTCCATGATTTTTGGACGGGCGCGTTGTCATGGAGAAGAAGGACCCCCCCTTGACAACTTTCCTCTGGTTTTTCCTCGATGGCATCATGTAAATTTTTCATGGTGGTAGCATAGGAATCGCCAGTGATTGTACACTCGTCTGGCATGAACTCAAGCAGCAGTAGTCCCTCGCCATCCCAAAACACAGTGGCCATGATCTTTCCTGCAGATTTCTGAACACGAAATTTGCGAAGCGTTGACGATCCCTTGTGGTTCCACTGCATGGACTCCTGCTTGGTTTCGGGATCCCAGNCCCCCCCCCCCCCCCCCCACTTTTTAAGAAAAGAAGATTAAAAAAAAAAGAAGAAAAAGGCCCAGAGATGCATGATATCAGTATCTCAGAGTTCCCCTGCCCCCTCACTTTGTCCTGCGCTCCTTCCACAACCCCCCTTATATCCCGTGTCCTCCTACTTTTCCCATCCACGCTACGCTTATGATTAGTAATTTGTGTTTAAAAAATTGTGCGCGGAAACTTATTCATCACTCCGTATGAGGCGGACGTAGTAAACAGACTCCTGCATATGGAATATTCAAGGCATCAGATTGATGCATTTTCGTCCTTAAAAAGGCAGTCCCGAATGTGATGCGTTCTCATCGCATCATATTTTCAATTTCATAAAACATCATCACATAGAGGATATAATTTTTCACTACCAAAATGCAACAATTTCATTCTGTGTGCATCTCTTCCGCATGTGATGAAATTTGGCATACCATACCAAACCATTCTACGCCACCCCAGGGAGTATAGGTGGTAGGGATTCAATCCTAAGACGAGAGAATTTCGTTCGTCAGAGCAGATCTGTAGTTCTCCAACAGAAAGGGCACGATTTTCGATCCATATACTACCCTTGACTGTGTCATCTCCGATTCAGAGTGGGAAATGATGGGTACACTGAAATAAACAATGAAAACCAAAAAAAATTATTTTTACACTTTATTTTTCACGCCCCTCACGGCAACAATAATATTATTTTCTTCGAGAGACTCTGTTTAAAGGCCATGGAGAAGACTCGATTTTCGACATGGGTGCTGTATCTGCTATGTCTATTGCCTTAAGACATGACTTGGTGCATTGCAGACCGTGGTGAACGTCTCAGTTGACGTGCTCTTCAGACACGTCTGGGATCATATGCAAGATTACCCAAAATGGAATCACAATTTGCAACGTATGGAAGTCGTACTTGTGAGGCCTAAAAAGCAATCCGTTTCCTCTTTTTACTGTCTCGAACAGGTTGCTCGAAACGTAATTCTTTCAGGATATCACGCCAAGATGCCGCCTCGTTTACAAGGTGATACACCCGGCCGGGAACGGCATCATCTGGAGCAGGGACATCGTCGCCATCATGTATTGGGACAAGGAAAGGGATGGAATTTACGTCGCCCTCGCCAGCACCTCCTGGCCGGCATTGCCTCCGTCTAGTCAATATGTCAGGTTCGTTGCAGTTTCACTTCGTCGTAAGGAGAACTTGGAAGGGGGATGCGGTAAGGGTAAAGATTGTCTTAGATCGATAATTATCGTTTTTACCGAAATTCGAATCACTGTTGGTTTGTTTCTGCCTCCTATCTCGAAGTAGTTCATCGCAAAGGCGGCTATACACCACAAAATGAAGTGGAAACCCCATGTCCTTCGTAAATCCAAATGAATGAGGAATTCCCCATTGCATCTATCATTAATGAAATTGCAATAATTTCCCGGGAAGTTATGCTCCTGGCATATCACAAGAAGTTAAGAAATCTTCTGGTATTCAAAACGGATGAGGAAAAAATCCTAATGAATACATGAAAAGCGGAAGCTGCGGAGAAGCTACGCAGATGTTTCTGATGTGGAGCAGTCGGCAATTCTCGGTGAAGATGATCTTCTTTCGGAAGCCACGGGAGAACCAACTTCAGGAGAGCAGGCATCCTTACTTTTCGTTTGTGAACTCAACCATTCCTGCTGCTGGAAATCAAGATGGGATTGTTGCGATTGTCAATTCCGCAGACGAACATTAATGTAGTAAATCGGAAATTGCAATTGAGACCTTGAAGCTTCGCGATTTTACACGTCTCAGTGCTAATCCGAATTTAACATTTTATTCGATAGTGTTCTGCTTTCATTTGTAGCTCGCGCACAAAAACAGGTGGTTTCCAAAACTTGCCCAAGACTTTGGAGTCAGCGGTGCTATCCTACAGTTTATAATCTACGTGTATTTTTACAACATGCCTATCCTATTTTTTTGGTGCTAAGTTATAAATCCAAATCATCTAAAAACGAGAGAATCAGAGAAAAAGGTTGATTTCTTTTCCCACAGGGCAACCTTTTACCCACAGGGATACGTTTATACTCCAATGCCTGGCGATCCCGAGCAGACCTTAATCCGGTGGGTCAACCACGCGGACGCCCATCTGGCGTTCATCCCCGCGTCGGTCGTCAGCCTTCTCATAGCGAAGACCGCGTCCCTGTGGAAGTACATGAAGTCTCTAGTGCACCTTTGGAACTCCTTCCTTTAGTGCCCTAACTTCCCTCAGACTGTGAAGCAAAAACACAACGGAGAATACAAAAATTTAGTTAATTGGCCCCTCTAGATATCCCCAAGGCATTTCCAAAATACCGGGACTTCCCCTATCGTTTACCCAACACTTTTTCAAATTTTTATTGCATTCCACGTGCTTGCAGACTTCTTTATGAAAATACAGAAGAGCATGATACTGATGTGAATCCTTAGCTCATTTTTCCCCCTCGGTATTACGAAACGACTTCATCTGAAGGACCCTTTCCATCTTCCTACTTCACATTTCCCATCTTGGAATTCGAGGAAGAGCCCCTTGACATTCCGTATATACATTCGAAATACTTGGAGTCCAGACAACACAAGCTGTGGAGGCAGCTATAGCGCTCACATTGGAGTAAGGCAGTACTTAAAGATTTACTCTGCGAAGAATTGGTAAAAGGTCCGTCCTCCTGCAAAACAGCAAAATCGTGGTCCGCTCTTGCCATAATCCTGTAAGTCGTGAAGCGAGACACTGCGATCCTCTACTCGACTGGCAGTTTCTGTATTTCTCGTCAGTGAGTGTAGGTGGCGAAGGACGTCGGGGAAACACAACCCAGGGAAAATAATCCAGAGGGGACATATGAAGGAGAAGATCTTTGAAGAGATACTTGCAACGATTGACATCGACACCTCCGTCGATATCGCGAGTGTAACCTCATTCCGTCATGAATTTCTAAATGAGACGCTTCTTAACCATTTTCCAGGCAGGAGGACGTTTTGTCGTTTTAGCACCAGGCGAGAACGGTATTAATGTTTTTCTTGCTGTGGCTGCTTTGCAAGCTAAGTCGTAATTGGGTAGGACGGGCACGTAGGGAATGCGCATGATTTAGCTGATAATGGTGGCGCCAACGCGACTGACTGATGATTCAGCAAACTAAATTCACCTTCCATGGACCTGGGTCTTTGAAAAATTTCACCTGAAAAATTTCACCTGAAAAATTTCACCTGAAGAATTTCAAAAGGGTCACGTATAGAATTCGTCCCTGGCTGCAACAGATGCGTCAAATTGAACAATTTCATCATAATGATTCATGGCGAGTCGGGAAAAAATTATACAAGAGAATATTTACAAAATTATCTCCGCCAGTATTAATAATATGTCATTTAGTATCACACCCGTTTCTGGTTTCTCTTTCCTCTCCCATGGCTCTGGGTGACTAAAATGATTCGTCATAATTCTTCTCACACAAATTGAGCGACTATAATAAGAATGGAAAAGGAGGAACACCCTGTCCTTGGTTGAGTGTTTTGATTTTTTTGCCTGTGTGCGTACGAATCAATAATGAAACGTTCATTCATAATCTCGCTTATTAATCACTACGACTTTGGCATGGCATCCACGGTTTTAAACGCATCTCGTCTTGCTATTCATTAAATTCTTGTGGAAATCGACGATGAGCGTGGACAACATTGTTGAATTGCTCAAACCTGGACACAGTTTTTTAGGTTTTTTAAGTCGTGAAGCGAGACACTGCGATCCTCTACTCGACTGGGAGTTTCTGTATTTCTCGTCAGTGAGTGTAGGTGGCGAAGGACGTCGGGGAAACACAACCCAGGGAAAATAATCCAGAGGGGACATATGAAGGAGAAGATCTTTGAAGAGATACTTGCAACGATTGACTTGGAACTTGACCTAAAGGATGCAGTGACAAGCGTCACTTCAGGTGTTACACGTGAAACTCTTCAGGCGGTAGTTGAAAACTTCGCCATCAGAGTTCGCTCTTTTCTACAAAATGGAGCACAATTTGAACACACAGTATGAGTACAACAAACTTGTGAGTTTTCTAATTATTAAGAAGCGTTTTTCTCATTTTTATCTTCATTAGAAAGAAAATGGCACATTATCAAAACGTTAAACATTTTTTTGGTCAACCCTGTATAAAGCAATTACTTAAATGAAACATTCATTGAACATGTTCAGATGCCAATGGGGAGGTGTTCTATAAAGATCTTTATTTTTTCCACGGCAACGGAGCATTTATTTTCCTCTGGCTAGCAGCAGGCTTACCTGCCACTAGTTAATCTGCATGAAATCTACTCATTAGTCACAAGCAAGACTCATCGACAACTCAGTAGCAGTTTTCCCGTGGAAAACCATCGACAAGGGAGGGACGGCGGTCAAAATGAAAAACGCATTCACCTTCATCAGTCAGGGAATAAATTTAACTCAGAACTGCACATAAAATTAAGCAAAGAAACAAAATCTGAAGGCCATTTGTGACAGAAAATTTTTTTCCATCAGTTACGGTTCCTTTACTCGAGAAACTCATGACTTACGTTGGAAACCAACGTTCGACCCACAACGCATATTCCAGCATAGGCCCGACGTTGGCCCAACGTGGGTGTGCGACCGGGAATATCGACTTTAAACATGAAATTGAATGCAATTTTGGAGTGATAGCGACGCGTGATCCTCCTCCTCTCCTCCACTTTCCCTCAGTCGAAGACCTCGTGCCCTTCACATCCCCTTTCGCACGCTTTCTGACGACAGAACTAACGGCAAAAAATTCAGATATGAATGACAGGCTTTGACATTGCAGGAAGACGTTAAGAGCTGAAACAGGTGGACATTTTTCCTCATTGGGACTCTGGGTTCATTCCATCAGGGGTCCTCGTTCCAAACACTTGTTGAGTGCGTCGCACGCATGCATATAGCATCGCCGACAGTATTCTGGTGTGTACGCAGGAAGTGTCGTCAATGCAACTTCTGTCAATGTATGAACCCTGCAGGGGCGGATCAAGAAGTTGAGAGGCCCGGGGCAAGCGAATCCCACCCAAGACATTTAACCTAGTGGTGCAAGTAGCCTAGAGGAGCCACACAATGCTAGTGGTGCTAGTTTTGTTTATTTAACATCTGCTTCTTCACGCACTTACTTGGCGCTTTTAATTTCCTTCAGGGGTCCGCCTTGGAAAAGTAGGACGCGGAACAACGACCCCCTTTGCCCCCCCTTAATGTGGCCCTGGAACCCTGTTATCCCAAGCTCCTCATGTGAATTATTTTGTTCCTCTCACTCTCACCCTTTCTCCCATCCCGCACGTGACCAGTCATCTGAAATTCACTCCACCATCTCCTCTCCATTTTTTCAGATATCTCAAGGATACGGCCCGTGATGTCGGTGCCAATTACCGTAATTATTCTGAAGGCAACAGTTTGTACAGTGTGCCTCAGAGAAAGGTGTAGTATTTTAATTAATTGTAGATGCAATGTTTTAAGTAATAATCATGTAATGTTTTGCTTAATATGGACAAAAACTCAATTTATTTAATTGTTAGTGGTGACTAAAAGAAATGGAACAGTTTTGGCAGCAGAAAGAATTTTAATCCATGACAAATTCGTGGAAACGAAGTCACCTAATGTGTGTCGAGAGGATTCAGTCTACGATTTCCACAATCACGTGTCCCATCGTAAGGGATGATCGAAAAGCTTGAAAAAAAAAACATTGGCTGCGGCCTGTTCACCAGGTCTGTCCCCCCTGGATTTCTTTTATGCGGCTACGTTAAAGAAGCCGTTTTCAAAAACAGACCACAGACATTTCCAGAGTTAAAACATCAAGTTCAACGTGCAATTCACAGGGTCAGTGAAAACATTTTGTGTAACGCCATTGCTAATTTTGCTGAACGCATTCGAGTGTGCTTTGCCAGAAATGTCAAACATTTTGAACATGTTTTCTAACGTGACATGAAACATGAGGATGTAAGCTAACATGTTATGCAATGAAATGGCCTTTAAATTTTATAGTAATTATTCCGTACTGCCTTTAAATGTTGCACCTTTTTCCTGGACACCTTGTATATAGCCGCCTCTTCACTGATAGAACAGAGGCTTCATTATCCATTTTACACCTATTGCTCAACGTTAGAGCATTGGTGGTGTAGCAGGAATGAGACAAGGCTGAGGGAGTGCGAGGCCGGTGCTCCGGAGGCTAGTCGGTCTTGAGCCAAGGGATTCGAGCGGGAGACCACTCTTTCTTTTGGAAAGGGATATTGGCTAGTAGGAGCTGCCGTAAATAAAATCTAAGCATCTTCATGTGGATTTAAATTACTTCAGTGGTCTGCGGACTCCTCTCTTTGATGCTCGTACTTTGATGCCCATACTCTCATTCGTAGAAGTAATCATAATTGGCAGATACATGGGGGTCAATTCTGCTCGATGTATGTATTATTAATCCTCCAACAATAGAATTAATGTCAGCAAACATTTTCCGTGAAAAGGACGGAGTTTCGCTGCATTCAAATGTTGAGCACGCCGCTCAGCAGGTTCCGAACCTCTCGCTGTTTTGGTCATGTCGACCGGACTTTTAATCATGCCGGCGATGGAGAGTCGTCGCATGCCTTGAGGAATGGCGTACACCGCTCATAACACTAGAAGTAACAGCGATTGCAGTGCATAATTTCTACAGGAAGGTGCTATTTAATTAGCATTAGTTTGGGCTTTGGAAAGCGCCGGTAATCCACCGCTCAATAATTTAGTCTCAGTACTATTTCAGGCCTCGTTTCATAGGACAAGGTCGTCCTATGATTGGAAGGGAAATAATGATTTTGCATGTCTGGGAGAAGAAAGTTTAGTGGAATCACCGGAAGTCGACCGGAAGCAATATATAATTTATCTGCATAAAAGTTACTCAATATTACTCGCAATCATTATTCATCGGCAGTTCTAACTTGGAAAACCATCGATAAATTAGGGATTGCCGTCAAATTAAAAAGCATTCACCCTCGTCAGTCACAGAATAAATGGATGGCAGAACTGCACATAATATAAAAGCAAAAAAAGAACATCTTAAGGTCATATATAGCAAAAATGCTTTCCATCAGTTACGGTATACATCCTTTGCTTGAGAAGTTATCAGAATTCGAGCTCATGATATGCCTTTAAAGCTTCACTATGAACTCATTCACGGTTTGCATCAGTTCGTTTTCATCAGTGAGAGAACATGGAACTTTCCGCAAACTAGGCTTTAATTCGGATCTTGAAGATCCGAATTAAATATATAAATTATGCAATAACAAATATACCTTATTCAGCCGTCCAGAATGAAAAGTCATTGACTATGAAATCAAGAATTCCAAAAATCATCACAAGGACTCAAAAGTCCCGCCACGCCTGAGAGGGTAAAAAAAAGGATTTGAATTGCAGCCTTATTTGGAGCAAGGAAAGTAAACCTACAATTCTTTCACCCAGATTCTGAGCAATATTGTCTGAGAACCGATGACTGTGCTGTCCGATGACGCCATCAAAATTGCAAGTGGTTACGACAAGAAAAGTTACATCACTGGGACTTTACAGATGAGAAAGCAATTAGTCACTGCGCGAAAAAACGACAGGCGTTACGCAGGCTGATCAAAAAGGAACGGAACTTTGGCTGCAGCTCAAAGAGTGCTCGTCGAAATCGTTGGCCATTCGGCAGGGGTCAACTATATTCGATTTGTGATTCATGGTTAAAATTTCAGTTGTATATTATTTAAGGAACGCTGCTGATGACTCGAAGAAATTGTCATATATACTTTTTGATTGGTTTTTCCAGGATCCCAGTGCTGCAAGGGGCAAAAATTAAGCGCTCTCTAAGACTTTTGCGGCAGATGTACATACAGACACCTGCGACATGCACCTACTGTTTGCCATCTGCTCCAGCACTGGGATTCCAGTAAAAGCAGTCAAAAAGTGTCTAACTATAGCTATTTCTCCGGATCAATTGCGTTCCTAAAAGAAATACAGCTGAAATGTTTACCATGAGAAGCAAATCGAATATATCATAGTTGACCCCTGTAAATTGGCCAACGATTTCGACGAGCACTCTTTGAGTTGCAGCCAAATTTCCGTTCTTTCTTAATTAGCCTAAGTTAAGGTCTTCCTGAATTCCGACGTGATTTTGGTTTTTGTTGCACCACAGGTGCAACCAAGTACATAAATTGAAGCTAGGGGGAAAGGTCGCACGATTTCATTCTTATAAGCTAAAATCACCGTCAGAAATAGTTTAAAGGAAGGGTACACTTCTCCTGTTCAAAAATATGGAATCCCCTAATGAGCGGTACGTGCAAGCATTGTTTGGGGTCGTCCTCCACAATGATTTTGGTTTTGGTTTTAGGAGAGGGACACCATGAATCAGTCGAAATTGGAAAAAGATTCATTGGCCCTGAACATTTCCAAGGATATCTGACAAAGAATCCTTCTCGTAATTCTCCCTCTCTCTCTGCAGTACGTGGTCTGATCAATAATAGTTCCAACCTTCGTCATCTGATGCGAACATTCGGTGCGAGAGGAGGCACTGCCAGACAAGAAGTGGAACCCTCCAGTGCTCATCAGAATGAGACGTGGACTCATCACCGACCTCCTCTCTCGGAGCTTATATTTCTCCCTCCAGTTCCTCCTCTATGAGGAAGTCACAGAGGCGCCCAACGTTGGCAACGGTGAGTGGCCTTGCGATGACATGATGTGAAGCGTGGCATCGCTGATTCTATGGCTCCACATATGCATGCGATTGCATATTGCGGGGACTCTGTCTATGTACTACTCTTGTTCCACTTAAGATGGTATGGACTGTTCCACATACAAGCACAAATAAAAGTTAAACAGAAGTTGTCTCTTCATTCAGTAATGTCTTATTGATGTTTTGACCTTTCTAATGAGGAACAAGAAAATGAAATATCTTCTTCATCATCCTCCTCTTCTTCAAATACACTTTCTTCTCCATCAGCCTAGGCGGGAATTTGGTAAAAGACCCAAGCAAAAATATATATACAGGGTGTCTCAAAAGAAATGTATACACACTATAATAATAAAGAATGCATATTAAGTATTTGTAATTCAGAGAGGTACAATGTTCAATGGGTGCAGAAACAAGGGTTTGAATTGCATGGTTCACTACCACAGATGTTCAAATTGTTCAGCGTTAGCATCCCGGCACTGTTGACAGCAGTGTGCAACAGTGCAACAAACTTTTGAAGAGGTTTCTGCTGGGATAGTAGTACAGGACTCCTCAATTTCCTGCGATCGTGTGAATGCTTGCATTGCAAACAACAGCATTTTCCCCATCTGTGTGAGGCCTATCAGAACATTGTGCATTATCGTACTAGCAATGTTCTGGGAGATCATGCATTGTACCATCAACATCAAACTTATAATGAATCCTTGAAAGTTCTAGTACATCATGCATAGCATAGTTGCAAGCTCATTTCTCCATCTTCTTTGCACTTCACACGTGTTCTCATATTTCCAGAATCACTCTTGATCCATGTGTGTATACATTTTTTAGACACCCCGTATTTCAGGAATTTTTCACAAGAATAAGTTCAATTTTGACAGTTTAATTAGAAAAAATGGAAATGACAGGAAAATTTGGAGATCTTTAATTGCAATTTTCGAAAAAAAAAAGAATTCGAGTGCAGAGTTAAGTTGAACAGGAGTAGTCAACTTAAACATGCTTTAAAAAGAATGGTTCGGAGGGTTAGAGGATTTTGATTGTACGTGATCTTATGGAGATTATTTCGATTGCATGCAAATTTTAGGCAAAACGGCCTAGTTCGAAACCATGTTTAGGATATACCGTCCAACTTTCACACTTTCTAAGTCTATATAACTTTGCCAATGCTGAGTTTTTATTCCTGCTTCTGGACTGCTCAATGAAATTTTGTGATTAATTTTTCAATTTTTAATATTTGAAATCATTTAAATTACACCGCAGTTGTACGACGTTTTCAATCAATAAAATGCGCGCACGCGTTTCCCAAGACTTGTCAAACCCGTAAAAATCAAACGTAAAGCCCGTCCAGGCCCAGAAAGGACCACTTTTAATCCATTAAGGAGCCCAAGTTGCTCGTTTATCATATTCAAGCCATCAACCCCTTCCTTCGCTCTCCTCCAAATGTCATTCATGCCCACAGCCTAAGGGCAGGTTCAGTGGCGTCCTACTCCAAGCGGGGAGGGGGGCCGGCCACCCCGACGCGAGATACAGATCACTCAGCATGCGAATTTTCGTAGACTGTCTTAGGCTAAGCTTTCAAGTCCGCCTTTGTTGGTCTTTTTACGACTCTGTTCGGTCTCCTGCTGGGCTTCGACCTACCCGAACATGATCGAGGTAGAGTTGAGCACTTTATGATAAATCTCGCTCGATATGGTCGAGGAAAAAAATTCTCAACATTCAGGATTTCAGAAAAACACGATCAAACTTATTTGGCTAACAAACGCTTTGAGAGATCCGTCATTCTATGGAATAAGCATACCTGGACTTGGAGTCAAAGAAAAGATATTGACGGTCAAAGTTGATCAAATATGGGAAAATTTTCAAATTTAATTAGGCGTAGCAGAATTTTGATGTGACGTAAAAACAATATACTTATATTTTCTGACTAACCTCGTAAAGCATGAAAAACACTCCAAAGTTGGTTCCAGTTACACATATTTTCACAGTGACGTTTTAGGAATGAATGTTTGATGATTTCATGAATATCATACAATTTTTACCTTTTTTGTAATTAACTACACATGATTTTTAACTGCTAAATCCCAGTCAGTGCAGCAACCGCAATTGGACCACTTGACATAGAATGATTCATTCCTTTATGAATCGAATCTGTTGAGTAAACGGAACAGTAGCGAGAACAAGAGGGAAGTAAGAAACACGGCCAAGTGCGGTCAAGAGGTGGGAATTTCGCACGAAAGCAACCGTTTACACCGTTCGAGTCTTGTCGCCTTCATCGCTTAAGTCGTTTGTTTCGCCTTTTGCTGCTAGTAAGCCTTATGTCCATAGTTATTTTTGACGATTCTCCGCACCGACTCATGCGAAATTCCCATCTCTTGGCCGACATTCCACTGCGAACGGCGCGGATTCCTCTCGAACCTTTGACGGACCTTCTTTCGATTAGCAGCGCCAGTCGCAGTGCGAGGGCGTTCACTGCGAGGGCGATCAGACAATGTACCGAGCTCCTCGTAGCGCTTTATCGCTTTCCTGACGGTCGAATCAGGCAGATTCAGTCGTCGAGAAATCTCTGCAATTCGCATTCCCGAGTCGTGCAAACACTTCGATGGTTTCTCTTTCGATTTCATTCTGAAAAAACTAAAACGGCGGTCATTACTTAAAAGATTTTGTACTTAGTGGAAAAAGCAATAAATAAATACTATAAAATGATATGTTTGCGAAATTTTAGTAAAATGTTTTTGGCTTAAAAAATTAACTTTAAAAAAATCTCAAGAACTTTTGTGACACCCTGTAAATAGTGCAATGATGCAAAGTATTTTGTACACGACGAAAACCCCGGTAACAGTATAGGACGGGGACTTTAGGGAAGGACAACAAAGGGAGTTTTTATGAATTAAAACATTGTCTCTGAGTATTCCAATGAAAACGTGAGGAAGCCTCGGGTTCCCTGAATTCCTATGAGAAACTCTATAATTTAAACCACACTTTAATTCAGAAGCATTGTTCAAAATGGCGAGAGTTTCGCCTTGGAAACTCATCACTGACCGTGATAACGTCTAATTCATGGACCTTGGGGTGTTTTCTTCCCTGGCTACTTAGAGTGGAGCAAGTCAGCGAGAGGGGTGGGTAATTGCAGGAAATTCTAGGAAATTGAGAAAATTGCAGTGCATAGTTTATAAAGAAAATTGCAACTTCATTAGCATTGCATTGACCTTTGAATGTGCGAATCACCCGCCTGAGGAGAAAGAAATGTTTCCAACTACTTGGAGGAACTACTTTTTAATTATCAGTTCCTGAACTCGAAAGGAATCAAGATTTGTTCATAAATCACAAAATTTCACTGATGTATTCAACTGATAAATGAAATCTTATAATTTTCTGCCCATCAGCAGCCATCTTGTATTTGACTGATTAAACTGATTAAACCTAAGACACTCTAAACAATGTCATGATCACTTGGAGAACATGGGTGTTCAACAATCCACAGCCGATTAAATAAATGATTCTACGATTCTGTTTAACTTCTTTAGAAAACAATTTTTTTTCTAAAGGGGCAGGTGAAGCCAAAATAATATATTTCTGCCATTTACAGTAAGTGTCCGTTTCTTCAAGACCACGTTATCAATTCCAATCCTATACTTGCACTCTTAAGTTGCTTCTATAAAAAATGTTTGTCTTTTGTTGTTTTACTAATCAGAAGGCCTACTACTTCACGGGTCCAAAGGTGCATCCCCTAACTTATCCAGAAGTCAACGGCGGCTCGAAGACGGACACGTTCCCGTACGCATCTGTCTGATTTCGCTTGAAAAGTAAGACATTCTGTAAAGATGTACACAGTCGGATAAAAAGTACTGAATCATTCCCAGGTCGAATTGCAGCCATACGTGGAGCAGGGAAAGAGAACCTACGAATCTTTCAAGCAGATCCTACAAAATACTGCTTGGGAGCCCATGACATTGCTATCCGATGACGTCGTGAAAATCGCAAGTGCTTACAACGGAGAAAGTGGTCTCACCATGTTTTACTTGGAGGTAAGAAATCCCAGTACCACTTTTCGAGAACTATAGCAGTAGATCTTTCATAATTCGCTGCCAACAAGGTCACAGACTGCTGGCATCAAAGACAGAAGTGGCTTGATGAGAAAATGAGCGCCTGAAAAAAGGAAGTGTACGTGGTAACTCGAATTTATCAGAATAATTATAATAATGTCCAGGATAGGAGGAAACGATGCCTGCACAACCCGCTAGCGTGGGTTTGCTTCTCCAATTCAATTACGGTAGAAATGTTGAATCGGACATGAAGTGACACCGGACGGCACAGTTCGGGATTGAAACTTATTCTCTTCTGATATTTTCCTTAGTTCCTTTTTCTCCTTCTTCCACTTCAGTTTTCGGTCTCATGCTAGAAGACAGTGTATATATAAAAGCGCATCGTAATGAACTTTCCTTTATCTGTCGTTCATTCACACACCAGGGACCAACTCAGTGGATCATGTTTTAAGTAAAATTATGTCCTTACTAAAGTAAGGACATCTTTATATGGCAGAAGTCAGCATTTCATTAAATCTTTCCTGCGTCCTGGAAATCGGATCTTAATATTTACATTTGAAGTTGTCGGCGTACTTTGAGTTCGAGTGTTTATTGCTTAGTCTTAAGGTTGAAAAGGACTGTTCATACAGAGTGGTCATGAAGTCCCAATCTATTTTATTGAAAAACTCAAAATTCTAAGGAAAATGATTGATGTCACATCGTCAATAATGAACTAAATAAAACCGGCAAGAGTAAATGAAATATCAGTTATTAGCATTTTTTTCTTACTGAAGTTCGACATAATGACCATCCAAATCGACACATAACTGCAATCGATTTGATGTTTCCCTGAACATTCAGAATGTTCAGCATGTGAGGTTTATGGTGTTAACAGCATAAACAGCACCAATCCAGCACAAGCAGGATCTTAGTTTTCATGAACAAAATGTGCAATGGAAGTTTGACTTAGATGTGACATAGGGTGTTCCCAAGGGGTCATTTCAAATTCCTGCAAACGTTCACTCAATACCACGGAAGCAACCTCGAACATTCAAGGACACAGACAAGACCTGAAAATCATGACTGCTGTGTCTGCTAGGTCGTTTGCATTAAGGCATGATTTTGTGAATTACAGACGGTGGTGAACGTCTCAGCTGACGTGCTATTCAGGGATGACTGGGATCACGTGGCAGATTACCCAAAATGGAATCCCAACTTTCTTCGCACTGAAGTCGTACTCGTGAGACCTAAGTGACATATTCATTTTCCCTGTTTTTCCTGTCCCGAGATGGAGTCTAGCACTTTTCTTCAGGATATCACGCCAAGATGCCGCTTGGCTTACAAAGTTTCATCCCCTCTGGGGAACGGCCTGATCTGGAGCAGGGACGCTGTTACCACCGTGTATGCCGACACGGTAGGCGATGCAACCTACCTCGCCTTCTCCAGCACCTCCTGGCCCGCAATACCTCCGTCCAGTCAATATGTCAGGTTCGTTGCAGTTCGATTTCGTCGTAACGAGAACAGGGAAGGGGGATGCGATAAGTGTAAAGATTGCCTCGGATTAATTGTTGTCGATTTCAGCGAAAGTCGAATCACCCGTAGGTTTTTTCCTGCCTGCAATTTCAAACTTATCCATCGTAACGTCGCTCATTTCCAACAAACTAAAGAGAAAATCGTATATCCTTCGTAAATCGAAATAGGTGAGGAATTCCCCGTTGCATCTATAAATAATGAAATTGTGATCACTTCCTGGGGAAATGATGCAGCTGTGATGTCACAAGGAGTTATGATTTCTTTTGGTATTCAAAACGTATGAGGAACAAGTCCTAATGAATACGTGAGAACCGGAAGAGCAAGATTTTTGTGATCTGGACCAGCCTGCAATTCTAGGAATATACAAGGGTATATCGGAAAATAAGTTTCCCATGTCTCTCAAAAAATAAATATATTTGCAATATTGCAACACGCAGTGGTAATATGAATCCCTGTTCCCACTCCACTTTTCTTCACAATCACCACCTACATTTATACGTTTGTCCCATCGGTAAGTGAGTTTTTCCAAACCCTCTTGAATGGAGTCGGCGACCCGAGCGCTCATCATCCTCCACACACGCTTGGCCCCCAGCAAATGGACGGCACCATCTACTTATAATTTTCCCATCGTCACCATATATGGCAACGATCTGACGGTGGATATCGACGACTACATGTTTGTCCACAAAAATCGTATCACACTGCCGACTTCACAGTTTGTGTGCTCTTCCAAGAGTGCGGCTATATTGTCACTATCACTGCCCATGCACCTTGCCACCAGTGTATGGATAGGACAGGAAGAAGTGTACACATTAGCATATGTACCGTCACGCTCGTAATAACAATGTTCGTTCTAGAGACATGGGAAACTTATTTTCCGATACCCCCTCATATATTAATGTATGCTTTTTTTTTAGAAAGTCACAGGAAAATAAAATTCAATGTGGTGAGTCAACTTAAGAACATCCTTATTTTTCGTTAATGAACCACCATTCGCAACCATTCCTGCCGGGAGGAATCAACATAGGAATGATACGTCTTCATGTTTCGCAAATGAAGATTGAATAGGTGGAACGGAGATGGCTCTTCAGATGTTCAAGTTTCACGATTTCAAATATCTCTATCCAAATCCGATTTGAAGATTTCATTTTTTTAGCGTCCAGCTTGCGTTTCTAGCTCGCGCCACAAAATAAGGGCTTTTCAAAACTTGCGCGATACTTTAGAATTTAGCAAGCTATCCTACGAATTTTCATATATTTCATGGCCTGCCTATCCCGTATCATCTTTCGTTTTGAGGGGGAAAAGTACTAATCCGAATCCTCTGAAATCGAGAAAGTGCAAAAAAAAGCTGAGTTTCTTGTGCTACAGGGCGACGTTCTACCCTCAAGGATTCGTTTATTCTCCGCTGCCCAGCGATCCCAAGAAGACGCTCCTCAGGTGGGTCAATCACATAGACCTCCACATGGCGTTCGTCCCCGCGTCAGTCATCAATCTCGTCTTAGCGAAGGCCTGCAGGAACACCCTCATCTACTACCAGGAACACGCAGAAACCTTGAGGAAAAAATTGAAACAATTGAAGGGAATGTGACTCTTCGGTTTTGTATTGCCTGTTACTTAATAAATTCATTTCACGAGGGACTGAATATTCAAAGGGATTATAAAATACCGGGACTTCTGTCATCGTCCATCCACCACCCCAACAAAATTAAATCTCATTCCATTGGGTTAGAATAATCCTAAAGAACATACAGAAGAGGCTGATACTGATGGGATTCTTCCTCTACTTTGTTCCCTCGGGTGTACGAAACGACTGCCTCTGAAGAACCCTTCCCTTCTGCCCACTTAACATATCCCATCTTGGAATTCGAGGAAGAACCTGTCGATATATAAACATCCAAAACACATGCAGTCCCCCTAACGACTGACACCTTCGTAGATATCACGAGTGTATCCTCTTTCAGTCATTAATTTCTGAAGAAGATACTTCTTGACCCTTTTGCAGGGAAAATGACTTTTTGTCGTTTTAGCATACAGGTAGAGCAAAATCAATGTTTTTGCTTAGGCTGCTTTTCAAGCTTAGCCAACATCGGCTAAGCCGGGCACGCAGGTCATACCCATGATTCAGCTAATAGGTATAGCCAGTTGGTGGTGCCAACTCAGCTGACTGATGACTCAAGCAAAATTAATTCACCTGTCGAGACCTGCACCTTTGAAAAAATTCATGTGTTTAAATTTATAAATCGTCTCTGACGGCAACATATACGAACATTTCCAGGAGATTTTGAAGAGACACCTTAATCAAAATGAATCATGGCGAATAGAAATGCAAAATATCAATTCAAGAAATATCATCGTCAATAAATTCATCATTTTTTCTCCATTTCTAGTTTCTTTTTCTGCTGAAGTGACTCTGGCTAGGATCTCTGATATTCATTAATTCTTTGCATAAAAATGGGACGCTTTGAATGGAAATAATAAAGGGCGAAGTCATTACAAGTCACTGTGGAGTGAAATTCAGTATGTATTCGTCTTAATCCAATTCCCATGAATTCCTCTTTTCCCAAAATATCCGATGATCTCTCCTTTGAATTCTTCTGATTTTCATTTTGGAGTTCTCAGAGAATCAGTTAAGAACTTCTTTCATTTGGGGTTCAATGAAATCGAAACTCGACAAATTAACATGTAAATTGCAATCAAAATCAGGTTTAGTTAAAAATAAAAAAAACTCTTATTTAATTTTTTTAGCATTTAAGTATAAGAATATATCTGAGTGCAGTTTCTACTCATTCTTCAAAAAATGTCAGTATCTCCAGATATTTATGATGTAATATGGTCATTCCACGCCAAATCGACCAGTGAGAGAGCTCGACCATCTCAGATTTTAAGGATATGCACGTAGAGGAATCGATTTAAAGATATCAATTTTAACCAGTTGTTTATCTCTCCCACAGATCTCCAGATACATGCATTTTAATTAGACCTAATTTTCGCTCCCAGCGCCCATAGGAACTGGAATTTTTATACCTTTTTGCAATAACTTCCTCTCTACCTACAATAAAGCCTTTAATTTGGTGTCCTTTTAATCGTGAGATTGCCGTTTTAGATTGACTAATTAGGTATTATTCTCCTAAGCTGAAACAAGAATCTTCAACTGAACAAACAGTTCAGATCAAGTTCAGTGGACAATATCGGCACTTGCCACCTCGTGATTTGGTTTTATATATATTTCATTAAAAATGGCATGGTATGCCAATTTTGACGATACAAAATTCGAGATTGGCACTCAATGGTTTGACGAGATATGACGATTTGTGCGTGCCAGTCATGCCAAATTTCCACTTGTTCGAACATTTTTGACAGACATCAGTGACCGACACCTGCACTTTCCACTCCATGAATCTACATTTCTAATGCATCATTTTAAAATGTCTGATACGCCCTTTCTAAAGATACCAAATTCAAGGTTGGCACTTAATGGGTTCATCAGATCTGACTGTTTGTAGCATGTGTAACCAAAAATTCTACTTGATCGAAAAATCAGACAGATTTCGGCAACCGACATTTGAGTTCCCAGAGTACTCCCCAAGGGAATCATGGGAATGTAGCCTTGTAGTAAGCAATCCAATAGGTAATATTATTTTCGTCTTTTAATTTATTTTATGCACTTTTATCTTGTTCCTATACTGCAAAATCTCAGAATATTTCGCGGATTTTCAATTAAACGATTACCGTTCCATTTGTATTATGTAATTAACTAATTAATTAAAGCCAATTAAGTGAGTTAATTGATTCAGAAACAAATTTTCCTAATTTCCCAAATAGCACAATCACATTGAATCAACGTTGCTTCGACGTAATTTCGTCAACGCAGCTAACGCTAAAACCACGTTGCCTGTCAACATTGATTCTATATTGAAAGTTCATATTTATCAACAATTGATTCAACGTTCACATCAACGTTATATCAGCAGTGATTCAATGTTCAAAACCAACATTGCAACGTTGCCTTAACATTTGCTTAACAACGTTGATTCCATATTGAAAATACATTTTCTTCAACATTGAATCAATTTTGAAGCATTTATGCCATACTGAAGCGGCTCTTTAATTAACATATAAGCAATCTGACGTAGGCGAAGTTGTTTCATGTGAGTCTGTCCTTTCTTCGGATAACCTATAGTACTTCGATACATGTCAAAGGCATTCTCGATCCTCAGGTAGTCAAGTTACGTAGCAATGATGAAAAAAATAGAATGGGAAGCACTGCACATGATGACCATGCACGATCAAGCCTGTCCCAGAACAACAATTCTGCATTATTAATTAAGAAAACCTGAATGATTTCTGCAACCATTACAGTTCAAGCTTAATTAGGACATATCTAACTAGTGTCGTCACTTCACTTCTCCTACATCAGACCCTTTATGGCCTGCACAAACACGTCGGTGTCTATATCAGAAAATAGTTTTGACTCAGTAAGGTTTTGATACCTTGCTCCAAGTTATGAGAGCCGGAAATGCCATTCTACTTTCATAATGCGACGAAGTTTGAGTGCCTTTCAGTCACAGTCGAATTTGCTCTAAATCAAACGTTCCTCTTGATAGAAATCCTTCCTGGTATATCGGCTGAAGTGATTGCAAACACTGATGGAGTAAGCATTAAAAAAAATTTCTGCAGATACTTCGACCTTGAATGGTCCAGCATTGAATGAATGTTGGCCCAATGTGGGCCCAATCTTCATGAAAACGATCTTGTTCCTTGAAGGAACTCATGAAATCGTATAGAGGCATTCAGAAATAACGGAAATTTGATGCTCTCATTTATTATCTTCAATTCAAATGTAGAGCAACACACGGTGCAGGTGCCAAACCTCTCGTTATTTCTGTGATGTCGGCTGGAGTATTAGCCATATCGACGATGGAGGCTCGTCGTTTGCCTTGGGTAATAAAGAAGGCCATCCATTAGGAGAAACGGCGATTGCAGTGCAATATTTCTGCAGGACAATGTAACTTAAATAGCGTTAGCATGACATTTAGAAAGCGCCGGTAATCCACCTCCCATCAATTTAGTTTCAGAACTGCCTATGGACTGTTCGAGTGAGCCAGCAAGGTCGCCCTATGATTGGAAGGGGAAAATCCCTTCAAAAGTCTTAGACTCGCGATATCAACTGAAATAGAAAGGATGCAATACATAATTCATCTGCATCAGCGTTACTCATCATTACTCACAAGCATTGTCCATCGGCAACTCTTCATATCTTCAATGTAGTGGTTTCATCTTAAGAAGAGCAGATACCCTTACTTTTCCTTAGTAAGTTAATACATTACTCCTAACCATTCCAGCCTGGTGAGATCAACTAGGGAATGCTGTGTCTATGAGTTTTTCAGACGAAAATGAATGAGATGGACTGGAAATGGCTATTGAGACGATGAAGTTCCGTGATTTTAAATGTCCCTATGCAAATCCGAATGAATTATTTCATTCGAGTGTATCCTGCTTGCAGTTCCCGCTCTCGCCCATTAAACAATTCTTTTCTAAAACTTGAGCAACACTTTCAAATTAATCATCCTATTCCAGGGATATTTATCCATTTTCATATCATGCCTATCCCGAATCTTCTTTCTTCTTTCATACAAAAGTACTAATCCAAATCCTCTGAAATCGAGAAAATCGCAAAAAATATTGATTTCTTGTCATGCAAGGCAACGTTCTACCCTCAAGGGTTTCTTTATTCCCCGCTTCCTGGTCATCCCGAGAAACCGCTTATTCAGTGGGTCAATCATGGGCCAATGCATTCGTCCCCGCTTCAGTCATCAACCTCGTCCTGGCGGATGCCTGCAGGGACACCCTAATCTACTACCAGGAATGCGCGGAAAACTTGCGGGAGGAAATGGAGGGAGGGGAATCTTCCATTTTGTGATGAATGTTGTTTTTTACTAATTCATTTAATGGGGGCTCAATATTCTTAAGGCATTAAAAAAAATATCGGAGCTTCTGACATCGTCCATCCAAAACTCAATCAAAATTATGTCTCACTCCAAGAGCCTGCAGAAATATTAGTGGACATGCAGGGGCCATATAAATTCTTTAGGTATGTGTGAACTCGTTTGTATGCGAAATTAAAAGATGAAGTTAAGGAAAGAGGCACTTAAGACTTTTTGAAATGAGGTTGAAGATCTCGCAATATTGTTTGAATAGTGTCGGAGAAATCGAGAAATTTGTGCTGAGTGATCAGCGTAGAATCATTACCAGAGAAGAAAGAATGGGAGGAACCAAGGTGAATCTTGAATATCTTGCAAGATTTTTTCTTCAGCGATGCACCCTCCAAAATAAATATATTTAAAAAATCAACTCAAATTGCTCAAGCATAATTTTTTAAAATGCAGGATTCTTGGTATTAGATGAACAAAACATCGAACGGAAAGCCATTTTCTCAGTCCATCGTATAGTTCGCCGCGAAGTGGAGCAGAAAACTTAAATCCCTGACGGACAAGTGTTTATTAGTTTAAAGGAACAGCCAGAAATAAAATTTCAGCAGATTTTAATTTTTCTTTAAGATCTGAGGTCTCCTTTCTTCGATGCAGATGA